GTTGTGTCGTACCAGGTAGATTTTCCGAAGCTGACTGGTACCTTACAAGAGGGCCACGTACAGAGCAGGAGGAATCTCTTGGATATGGAATGGTTCATATCTCGGAAGTTATGCGTAAGCAAATAGGTAGTGGAATGTGGAGACAATGGAGGACAAGTTTGGTAACAACTTCTTTTTTCAGGCCAGTTAGCTAATTAGTAGAAATCTTCATTGAAAATGCCCCGCCCTTATCACTTTAGAAGGCTAAACATCAGACGACGCCTGACATTCATCTACTCCACGCTTGTCGGAAAGTCCCGAAGGTGTTCAAGAGAATGCTCTTCAAAGCAAAGATACAGGGCTAGTGAGTCAGTTGGAAGAGAATACCACTTCCTCACAGTAACTCACTGATTCCTTTCTCATGCCACCGCTAAACTTTCTATGAGAGTTCTACCTCAGGACAGGAAGGAAGCAGTGTATTATCCCCGTGTTAAGCCTTCTCTCTTCCCTGTCCTCTAAACCCCTCAAATGATATCTCTCCCCACGATGAATACCATCGTTCCTTGGCACTGACATCATAAAATCACGTCATCACCCGAGAACCCAAAAGACGATTAGGAGTTAGCAGTGAGGTTGAATAGGCGGTGACTAGATCCAGAATCTTCCCATCAGCCTGAATAGAAGCATTTTGTGGTTACGAATAGTTGATGGAATTCCTTTTTTCACCTCGCCCCTTATCATTTTTCACAGAGTCAAAGACTGCATACCACACTGACATATTTGAACACACCCAACGTAAAACAGACTGGCAGCAAAGGTTATACTTAAGATATCATCTACCTACTTTCTGGTGGAGCTCTTTTGTGCAAAAATAAGACACGAAAACTCACTCGGACTATTTCGATTGTTTATTTTGACTTAAGAACATTATTTGTTATAATTAATTGCAAGAAATTTGGGAAAAAGTTAATCAAGGGAAGAAATAGCCATAATCCCAAAAAAAAAATATCTCAGAGCTGTGTACTGTCACTCACTAGGAAACTCGTTACTGGCAGATATTAGATTTTGCTTGAAGAAGTGGGCAACCCAGGGGCATCCACATCTGTTTCCCTTCACCTTGACAAGAACCTATGAGACAGTCATCAGATGCTGCAATGTCACCGTAAGAGAATAGGAGGAAAGGGATTGTGGATGAGAGGAATACTACCACTATCCCTATTTTCCCTTAGATGTGGTATAAGGCTTCTCTGGTACAGGTTTTGCGGTGATGGGAGAAATGTAGTCTGCCTATGATGTGCTGTAATTTGCAAGAGGAGGTCATTACGATCACCTTCAAGCTCCTCCATCATGTATGGAGGAGATAGGAGCTAATGTCAGGAGTTACTTGATATTTAGCCTGTAGCGGGTGCACATCTTGTGGGAAATATCTGTGACTGCAGGACACCACACACTTACAAGTCAAGTCAAGTGTGACAGTGGATCCAGTGGTTACCACACTTTGTAATCCAAGCCCATTTATTATCAGAAGTCTTCTTCCCTCTCTCCCTTGATTGTCTGTCAGCCAGTCAGTCAGTAGGTAACATTAAGTTCCCTAGGTGTCACAACTTCTCACTACTCCATAATCATTCTCTTTGTACATGCCACGTGAATTGCATGTAATATTGTCAGTAAGGGTACAAAAGTCCTTATTCAAATTTGAAACAGAGGATAATCCTGCAGGTGATTCATCTGTCATTAAATGATGCGCCACATAATATCGGGCTATTCCAGTTACTTATGCACCGTATATTTTCTCTCATCCAAATTTGGCAAGACCCTAAATCTCTGTATGAAGTAGTCAAATTCAAATCGTACGCAGTAACTTTATCCAACATCATCGGTGTGTTTTTTTAAAAGCAGCAGATGGCTACGATCGCCGCTAAGCGCATCGTACTGATACAATGACACTGGTAAATGAATTTCAGTGATGAGCCTAAAGGAGGAAATGTATTTCCCAGGCTCCAGACGACTTTAGCAAGTCAGTGCAGAGAGGTATACCAGATAGTTTAACGACACTTTGATCAAAGAATGCTTCAAACAGGATACATGTATATCATTCCTTACTAAGGTAATTGTGGCCAATGTGGAGAGAAAGATATCCCTTGTAAAGTTACCACAGAAGTAACAAGCGACCCAGCCGAGTTGGCGGATGTATAGTGCTGCAACGAAAATACGTCAAATTACTGAGGATACGAGTGAATGAATGCAGAAAACCTGGGACATTTCTAACACCAGGCAATGTCAACCTACAGTTCAGCCAAGTGTGCATCAGGTGAGAGTCTAGCCACCCACCTGACAGGGAGGAGAATAGACGCAAAGCCCCAAACGTTTGTTTACAACTTTCACAGCTTTGTCTTAAAAGAGGTGACAGTTTGGTGTATCAAAGATGGAAAGAACCAGCTTATTTCTAGACCATTATATTAACCTTCATAAGGACATATCCTGCAAATAAATGCAAAGAAAACGTGCTTTCTTTCACAACTCCAGCGTTGCTATCAGACACAATGTCTACTTTTCTCAGAGAGACGTTATTCGGCGGGCTCGAAAATGACGCCTCATTTTGACTGATTTTCTTGGGAGGGCTGTTAATTAAACAAATGCACACTCAAACACATTTTACTCCTTCGGCAATCATAAATTGTTTTCTGTACAGCTCTACAAGACAAACGACGATGAAGTGAAGTTAGATTTGTTTGAATCATGAAATTTCTAGATTGGAACCATTTGTCAACCCTCTCTCTTTTTTCCTCCTTAGCAAAATAGACTTGACTTTTACATTCCATCTAAATTTAAATTTTTGTAAAATCCCAGCAATTGTTCCTCATTTATATTTAAAAGGGGCAGTTCTATGCTCTCTATGGGAATTCAAAATTTCCCAGACAGTGCATTCAATTCAGGATTTAATGCAAAAAAAACCAAATAGACGCGCAATTAGTGATGCGACTGCTTCATTAGTGATTACTGATTTACCTTACTGGGAAGAAAATTTGTTGTTTTTATTACCATTCCTTATAAAATAGTTCTGTACTTAAGGCGATTCTGACACACCCATCCTCGCTATGCTTCAATGACAAGTGTGCTTAATCTGCCATAACCAAGGATAAGCGCTTCCTAATCTTCAGTCGAAGTCAAAAAAATTCAATGCTTAGTCGACTTCTTATCTCATGCACAAATATCTGGGCACAGCAGCACATTTTCCTTTAAGCAGAATGTTTCCGTTTGACAGTAAAGTCTTTAAAGCACAAAATTAAAACAATCCGGGGCGAGAAGGTAACTAGGTAACCACTACGGATTTGAAAAATGAAGCTTTTATGAGAAGATACTCATCTTTTCCATCGTCAGTAGTAACTTTCAAATTAGCACTGTGGACTACATTGCCGCATTCAAACCGATCATTTGACAATCACAAAATACAAGTAGAAAAGTGGGCTCACATTTACTTTTGGCATCTTTTAAGTAGAGTAGAATGGATAGACGTTTGAAGGTACCACCCTGATCGGCTTAAAAGATGCGAGTGTGAGTGCAACCCAGTAGTTGGGGATGCGAGTATTTTCCAGACCCTTGGTTAAGCATAACCAACAAGTGGTCTTACAAAGTTTCCCACCCTTATTTTTCCCGAAAGTGTACATGCATTAGTGTAAAACATCAAAAAGCAGGTTTTGGTGTTCATAATTGCTGTTGATAAAATTGCCCTTAAAGATCCAATCCCTTGAAGGCAACTGCTGTAGACTCGACACCTTGGAAAGTTGAAGCCAAAGAGCGTGGCATTTTGTGATCCGTTTAGTGCTCTGATAAGGAGCTATAAGTAACTTTGTGTTGTGTCGATGAGGGTTGAGGGGAAAAGGATTGTCAAGCCGCCTGGCACTTTCCAAATAGTTGACAACTAACTCCTCACTGAGCTTAGGGCACCCTTCGGATATATTCGGCTAAAATGGTGGGCGAAATTCCTTGTAACATATAGCTTAGATAGATGTGTTATTAATTTCTACATATTCGTTTTGTGAAAAATGGGGAGAAGAGGACTGTGAGATTATGGAAAAAAAAACAAAAATAAGTAGAAAATTGCGGAAAACATTGAGAAATGTAGCCTGTCCACGTCCTTTTCCGTCTCCTAACTTACCCTATTCATTATTTCCCAACTGTCCATGCTACCTGGTGATTGGCATGTGGAAAACTTGATCGACAGGTTGGCTGATGTCGAGACAGTGTGAGGGAGTCATGAGGTAGTAAAATGACATTTGACTTTAACAGATTATGCAGCACTCTTAGTAATAAAGGGACAAGCAGACTCCATTATACTGTTAATTGCTATCAAAAAAAGCGATCTGTTTTCTTTTCTCCTTATTCTATTTCCAAAACTCCGCCTGTTTTTGAGCAACCACTCCTATCCTTTCCCTATCCCTACCGGGCCAAGTAATCCATACATCAAGCCAAAATTTTATGCCTGGAAAAAGAAACAGAGAGGTAACACCAAACAGACATTATGCTTTTGCCTTTTGCTATGTCAACTAAGTTAGATTGCCAAATTTTCCCCTAGGCAGAAAAAAAATGGAGGGCATGTTTTTTGACCTTTCGGTCTTTACTCCCCTCCTTCTCTCTCCTACTTCCCCAGACCTCGGTGCTATCCGTAATGTTTCCCACAAAGGGAGTTGCAATAATTAGGGTATATTAAAGTGTCAAGACGGGAAAGGAGCACTTTGAAAGCATTCTTTTTAACATATAAAACAAGTCAGGACCATTATATGAGAGTTCTTTGTGAATTATACATTAGTCACCTTTTGGAGAGAAAGCACTTTGTCAGGAAAAACCCCCCTTGTATTTTCAAAAAAATACTGCACTAGCTCAATCTTGCTGCCTTTCCAGCACTGTAATTTACAGTCCCAAGTGACCTCCGAGGTCTCGCTTAGGCACAGCAGCCTGGAAGAACGCACACCACTAAGTGGTGGCAATTCCTGCAGGATACTGGCATGCCTGGATGGTCGCTACAGTAAGTGGTGAAGATGAAGCCTATGGACCGAGGATGGATGGATGTGCCAAGACTCCTGACAGACACAATATATATAGGTGCCCTCTCCACTGACAGTAACCCGACCCTGTGTTCTGGACGAGGACTAGGGATTGGAAACATTTAAAAAGTCAATCATAGAGACATTTGCAGTACCTTCATGATGATGTTAACTGCTTGAACGGGCGATACCGTAACAACTTGTCCATCGCCTAAATGGAACCCAAATGGATGGACACGGGATAAATGAGATGGGATGGGATACCGGATGGATGGAGGATAAAATTTTAGCATAGGCAAAGTGCCACTTTTAAGTCTAAAAAGTTAAACTAACGTTTGACCCTGTTCAGTCGAGTAAAATTTTCTGTTCAATGGAATATCTAACACCAAAAAAGAGTAAAGTATTTGTTGTCAGGTAAAGCAGGCTTTTTGATACATGGAATATTAAAAGCAGCTCCTAAGTTTACATCAGCCCGGTGGTCTGAATTTTTTACATTCTTACAAAAAACAAATCTTCGAGATGGATGATCAGAATAAAATAAAGAAGAGTGCTTGATATCTTACACCAAAAACTGCAGCATTGTTTTCCAGCGAGCAAAACAAATCAGATTCATTACTTGAAAGTTCTCTACCATTTAGATTTTAGGCTACACTTTAGAAGAGACATTTTTTGTCAGGAAGTGCTTTCATTTTATTTTTAAGAAAATACCACACTCACCCAAAATTTCCGCCTTGTCATTATGGCATTATTTTGAAAAACTGGGTGGTTAAAGGCAATTTACAGTCCCAAGTAATCTCGGAAGTCTCAATACTTCACAACAGCACGGCAGAATACGTACCACTAAGTGGCAACAATGCTGGCAGGAAGCTAGCATACCGGAATGGTCTCTGTGGTGCGCGACTCTGGCGACCGTCCAACGAAGATGACGTTGATGTCGCCCAAAAGAGGGGAAGTGGTGATCTGCTTGGTAGTTTGACAGGTTGTTTAATCGTGAGGTGAACCAGGTGGACACTGCATGCAGGGTAGGTTGTACTTCCACCTGGAGGCATGCTGCTAAGCCTGTCGGCTTCTCTACCCGTTAGTAATATGTGTTCCGCTTTGCTACTGTAGCTTATTGCGGGCTTCGTATATATGGAAGCCGCTCTAATCTTTTGAATTCAGTTATCCACCTTGCTTATAGGAATACATTCATTTTTGAGACGGCAAAGTCCTAGTAATTTGACACGATATCACCTAATCTAGAGTTCCCCACGGAACTAAGCATTTGATCCTTAAATACCTTTTCTGACTTCATTACTGAAGGAATTTCATTTTTTAAAACGCTTAATGGGACGAGCTCTTCATCTCTACGCTAAGACCGAATCCTTGATTTTGGCTCGATCTCACCACTAAATGAATGCTTAGACGGAGCATGAGACAGTCAACTATAAAAGTGGGGCAAAAGCCTTACAAATTAGGGAACTTTATCTCATTTAGCAATTTGGTAACCCTCTTCAAAGTGACATCTCTTTAGCACAAACAAATGGTGCACTTCTGCCTAAAGGCATATTCCTCCATAATACCCCCTGAATTTGTCCCATACTTTTTTCCTTGTCAGAAATAAAATTTTGACTTTGCAGCCTTCTAGTTGCCTGGAATAAAGCCCGTAAGAGAAAAGATGTTCATCGTTCATCCATGGTAAGGCATATTTGTCGCTATCTTGGAGGCAGCATTAATGACTTTGCCCTGCTTCCGGGCATGTAGTAAAAGCAGACATTCCTTCTGACTAGAAAAACCAACTTCAACAAGAACCATACACCACAGAATTTTATCCGCTACCGGTCTGTTCAAGGAATTTTGACTGAATAAACACTTGCCAAATGTGCTTTCCATGCTCGCCTCTTTCATATTCTGTCAAAATTAAGACCCTCTGTAATGTCAGGAAGAGCAAAAACATTGAATGATGAAGGGCTTTGCTTAAGTCGCTTTAGCACTTCCAAGGAAAGGCGGTAATTTAGATGTCCTACTCTCCAAAAAACATTTTATTAAACTCCTTATATTCCTGGGTATAATCTGGCTCTTAATTTGTGAATAAGCTGAAGCAACTTTGTTTTCACTTACTCTTGTAAAAAACTTATTCATTGGAATAATTAACATTCAGAAATGGAAGAAACATTAAATGCAAGAAAAAGTGTACCTTTCGACACATGGGATGATTAGCTTATCATTTAAGTGGGGTACTTATAATAAAGCCAAAGTAATTGTGCAGGATCAGTTAAGAACAATTGGCTACCTATCTTCTTCATGCAGAAAAAATGGCTTTGCAAATAGATTTGGGGCTACGTGTCCAGGAAGGTGAAGAGAGGCACTCGCATCAAGTATGTAAGAGTGATACAAGACCATGGGTCCAGAAATTCACACACAATAGAGCTTCGGAGGCAGCAGAAGGAAGCTTTATAAAGCACAGGTTAGATGAGAGGATATGCAAGAGTTTGCAACCCCCTCGCGTATTTCGACTTAAAGGGGTCCTCTCATTAATTGCCGATCTGAGTAACTTTTTTTCTGTACTTATATCACAAGAAAGAAACACTAATATTTAAGTGAACAAATAAAACTGAATGTTTATTCCCAGCAATTTACTTTCTAGAACGTTTGATTTAATAGTGTCTGTTGAAGTGGTTGCTGTTATAAAGGACCACATGTATGTTGACATTTATAACACTATGGTGTCAATTAGCTCAGCTTTGTTGAAAACAAGTCTATAACTACGGAATGCTTTTATCAGTGTCTTAATTGGTTTCCAATTGCAGAGATATAAGACCACAGCAAGGCATACTTTTCTGAGGGTTTCAATCTCTCACTAGGGGACACAGCCTATCTCTAGCCACTCTCTCACCCCTTCTACCTTATTTACATTTCCCAACTGTCGATTCAACGATATATGTGATTATATGATTGTCTGCTGCCAAAAGGGTAGTTGTGGCTTGCCGAATAGGAATTGAGAAGAATGCGGAAAAGGAAGATGAGGGTGAGGCTGAATCGGTAACTCCGCTCCCTCCGTCATAAATGAATGACGTAAGAGAAGGGCATAATTTCAACCGATTACTAGTCCTGCCTGCTTTTTCAATAACAGACGACATGATGGGTTTGGTTCCATCAAAATGCTTTGGGTGGCTAGATCTCATCCGTGGGTGCTTGACCCTCAGCAAGTTTCCCGTTTTACGTCGAATTCTGCCTAAGATCTGCCTTTAGGGCAATCCACCTGTCTAATTCCCGTCTGATCACACCAAGTCATTAGAGCCAGCCAAATTCATAAACCTCACAACCACACTCTCTTCCCTCGTATAATAGATAGATTTGCAGAACATGCTTCACTCGAGCTTCATCCATTGACTCAGGGCCAAAATTTATTTGTCAGTTCATTAATCTTGCCTGACGTTGATCATTTCACTCCAACGTTTAATTTAGTGAGAAAAAAGTTTAACAAATACCCTCCTTGTCGAAAAACACGCTTTTTGCTCCCTTCTGCATGCGGTGCCAGAGTTATAGACGGGTGAGTTGTTGAATTAATCTGCAAGATTTATTGTCAGGTGACAATAATGCTCCCTTTATTCATCAATACATAAAAAGGCGGAGTGATTAAATGCAAGCCTAAATCGACGACTTTGCCCAGTCAGTTTACCTAATAGAGGTTTTAGTTTTGTTTTAGGCATTTCCTCCTTTCAAAAAGAAGAATTTAGGAGATTTGGCATTGTGAAAAGTTGGGTGTCGAAAAATACATTCTCAGATTTTAGGCGCTGGCGTTCTTGATTCGATTTTGTTGTCTTTTCTGACATTAGTATGAAATGCAACTCCTGAATGTGTACAGGACAGGAGAGCGCGCATACTATATCTCACGGCTGCCCAATCTGTCAAAATCTACTGAATAAGATGGTATTGCTTCAAATTGGTGGTGTGCGGTTCTTGCTTCAACTGGCGGATTGTTTTATCAGGCAACAGGAACGCAGGGGCAGGGCTCCTCTGCCAATGTGTAGTGGGGGGAAGTCATCGGGGAATCCGCTTGAATAGCGACAAATGCCGCCTTCCATCCTACGGATTTTATTCAAGGCATTTAGGAAGCAAGTTATGCTTCCCGGTGAAGATAAATTTAGGTCAAATTCGGGTCCTACTGTAAAGAGTCACCAAAATGCCAAATAAAGAGAACGAACCAAATTCACAAGTTTTTTCTTACTTCTTTCAATTTTCCCGTCTCGCACATTGTCCAAGCCTTACTTTGATGGAGAGACCAAGTAAGCATTGAAAAAGAGATCTTGCAGATT